AGAATCTCTAGAATCCAACACCTGCTCACATCTCAATTCCGACTCCCTGTCCAAGCCACCAGTATGGCATGGTAGGCAGTGACTTTGTCCATTTCATTGGTTGCTGTATCTCTTGTGCCTAGAATGGTGCTTGTCACGTGGTAGGCCATTAGAAAATATTTGTTAAGTTATTGAATGCCTTAGAGTTTGCTATGAACCTAAGACACAAAAAGGATTGTGTTTCTTGATAAACAAATGATTTCACAACTATGAAAAGAATAATAACCAGTATTTTTTGAACACACAGCATGGGCCGGGCCCCTTACATGTGTCAGGGAGGTGCTAGATGTGATGAATGAGGCTCAGAGAAGTAGGAAACTGTCCAGACCAAACATCTAGGGGTTCCTGGAGTTGGTATTTCCAACACATTCATTCACTCAGCTCCTCAGCTATTGGCTGAGCCAATAGCTCATTGGCTCATCACCCAGCTATGTGCCAGATACTGTTTTGGGAGAACAAAATAGACAAATCCCTTACTCTAATAGAGCTTACAATCTAGTAGGGGAGGGAAATGCAAGAAACAAAATGTATACATAGGACTGGTAAGTAAGCAAGGAAACAAGCTAGGATGGCCAGGAAAAAGCTCTTTGGGGAAGTGGCATTTGAGCAGATACCTGGATGAAGTGACAGGTGAGCCATATAAATATGTGGGAGGAGCGCCTGGGTGGCTCAGTCATTAAGCATCTGCCTTCGGCTCAGGTCATGATCCCAGGGTCCTGGGATCGAGACCCACATCGGGCTCCCTGCTTGACGGGAAGCCTGCTTCTCCCTCTCCCACTCCCCCTGCTTGTGTTCCTGCTCTCGCTGTCTCTCTCTGTCAAATAGATAAATAAAATCTTTTAAAAAAAATATGTGGGAGAAGAGCAAAGACCCCAAAGTAAGCAAACTTTGGCGTGTTTGGGTGACAGCAAGGAAGCTAGTGTGGCCAGAACCCAGAGAGTGAAGAGCAGACTCTTTGGAGATAAGGTCAAAATCTTTGGAGGGGTGCCCGAGGGACTTTGTAGAACAGTGGAAGCCTTTGGATTTACCCTGAGTAAAGCGGGAAGCTGTTAGCAGATTAGAGCAGAGGAGGGACATGGTGTGACTTGATTGTGATAGGATCACTCTGGCTGTGTGTGGAGAAGACTCCTGAAGAGGGGCAAGGGTGGATACAGAGCGATCTGGTTGAAAGTCTCTCTTGACCAGGCTATGGTGCACAGTTGTTTGGTCAAACAACAGTCTGGATGTTGCTGTGAAGATGATTTTTCAGATATGATTAACATTTATAATCAGCAGACTTTGAGTGAATAATGTGGATGGGCTTCACTCAATTAGTTGAAGGCCTTAAGAGCAAAGACTGAGGTTTCCCAAAGAGGAAATTCTGCCCCAAGATCGCAACATAAAGACCCTATCTGCCTTTGCCACCTGCTGGCCTGCCTTATAGGTCTAAGACTCAAGAATGCAACATCAACTCTTACCTGAATTTCCAGCCCACCAGTCTGCACTCTGCCCTACAGATTTCAGACTTGCCAGCCCCACAATTAAATAAGCCAATTTCTTAAAATAAATCTAATGATAGGTAGGTAGAAGAAAGGAAGGAATGATGAGATATAAATTATATATATGTAAAATCATCAGGGAGTATATGATTCATTGAGTTCTGACACTGGATTGAGGGAGTGACTGGATGGAAGAGAGATGTCCCAAGACAGAACCATAAATAGTGCACTGCTACATTTGGAGGTAAGGCAGAGAGGCAGGGACCAGCACAGCAGAAGGAGAAGGAGCAGTAGTAGATAGAGCCCAGTTCGAGAGTTGTGTCTTCAAAGCCAAATGAAGAAGGTGTTTCAGAAACCAGCGCGTGATTACGTGGGTCAAAGGCTGTAGTTAGCTCTGGTAAGATGAAGACCGAGAACTGGCCCCCTGGGTGTGGCAACATGGAAGTGGCTGGTGACCTTGACAAGATCAATTTTGGGAAAGTAGCCAATGTTATATATATTCTACATTGGTTTTTTTCCTCTGGAAAATTCTGACTAATACAAGGCTGTTGTAATAATCCATGAAATCAATGATCAGTGATGATAGCTTGGACCTTGGGTAGCAGTGGAGATGGTGAGTCATGGTTAAAGTCTAGAAATATTTTAAAGGTAGAGCCAAACGGATATGCCAATGAATTGAATTTGGCAAATTAAAAAAAAAAAAAAAGGCATCAAGAATGACTCTCAGATTTTCGGCCTGAGCAACTGTGTGACTATTTGTACTATTGACCGTTATGGGAGATGCTGAGCTGGTAAACAAAGGAGTCTGGAATTGAGGGGAGAGGTCAGGTCAGGGGGAGAATCAGGAACCCATGGCATTGAAAGTCCCTGGGACGGGATAAGATCACTGGTGACCAGACACAGAAGAGTGGTCCCAGGACTGAGCGCTGGAGCCCCTGGGGCATTCTGAGGCCTAGAGGTCAAAAAGAGAAGGGACGGGCGCCTGGGTGGCTCAGTGGGTTAAGCGACTGCCTTCGGCTCGGGTCATGATCCTGGAGTCCCGGGATCGAGTCCCGCATTGGGCTCCCTGCTCAGCAGGGAGTCGGCTTCTCCCTCTGACCCTCTTCCCTCTCGTGCTCTCTATCTCTCATTCTCTCTCTCTCAAATAAATAAATAAAATCTTTAAAAAAATAAAAAAAAAGAGAGAGAGAGAGAAGGGACAACCCACAGAGAAGCCCAAGGAGATGAGCCAATGAGATTGAAGAGCGTGCGTCCCAGAAGGCATGTGGAGAAAATGCTTTATTCCAAGAGAAACAGAGTGGTCGGCGGTGACAAATGCTGGTCGGGAAGTGGTCCATTTAGGCGCAGGGAGGGTCACAAGTGCTGGGGCTCTGCGGCGGTGGGCCCTGGGCAGGGAACCAGGTTCGGGGAGAGGAACGCCCGAACACACACACACACACACACACACACACACACACACACACACACACACAGGCGAACGGTCACTCACTCTACTGTGGTGTTTGAAGCTTCCACACAGAGACCAGAATCCAGGCTGGTGTGATGGTCAGAGGAATGTCAGAGCTCCCTGGGAAACATCAGAGCACCCTGGCTGAATGGGGGCGGCAGCGTGGGTTTACACCTGTGACTCAGTTTTGATGGATGATGAGTCATTCATGAAGTGATTAGGAGGAGCTGGGCCGAAATAGGAATTTGAGTCACGTTAGGCAGATAGGGAAGTCACAACTTATTCCCAGGAAAAGAGTAACACACGACGGGTTGGAGGGGCCGGAAGGCAGAGAGAGAAAGAGGGGCCTCCAGACCCTGTGGGTTCATTCCTCTCCCTTCCTGGAGGGCCAGTGGGCCTGAGCTTGCTCTGGTTGAAAGAGCAAGGATGTGGGAGTTAAAGATTAGAACTGTTCAGCTGCAGGTTCAGAAACGGGGCTTGTCACGGAAAAGGAGAGGCAGAGGCGCCTCCACGGACTGCGTGGCCGCCATGGACAGATGCTAGCTGGAGAGCTTGGGATCAGGGAGAGTCACGGGCTCCCCTGGGACGGGCCTGGTTAGTGTTTCCTCACAACAACCACTACGAAACTGTCGATGATTTCCTCCACTTCCTGATGAAGAAACAGAGGCTCAGAGAAGCTACATAAGTTACCCAAAGCCACACGGTTGAGAAGCGCTGAGATCTTCGTGCCTCGAAGGCCCAGGTTCCTTTTTCAGTCAGCTGAACAGATGCAAGAATTCCAGAGACAAAGCCTGCTGCCTCCTCTTACTCACATAGTGCTTGACCTGGTTGGGCCTTGGGTTACTCGCCTGGAAAATGGAGACCACCATTACACCTCTCCTAGGGGATTAGATGGAATCACTCTCACATGCGTGAGCACTGCGTTTAGCTTGCTCGTGGTGCATGCTCAAGAAATGAAAGCTATTGTTACTGATGATTATTTTCAGTTTACAGGTGGAAAAGCATGGAAGGGTCCATTAATTCCTTCACACTCTAGAGTAAAGGCTGAAGTCTGGATTCAAAGCAAGACATAGGAAGTGCCAAAGCTCACCCAAGCCCTTTTCCATCCATCCCAAGATAAGAAAAAGGGGGTTATGGGCATTTCAGGCAGGTGGAATGCATCAGCAAAAGTGTGGGCAAGTAGGGTATCAGGGCGTGTGACGATGTCAAATTTTAGCTAAGGGTTGGAGAGTGAGCCTTGCTGGGCCATCTGGGCCTCAATTTAATGTCATGAGTGGGGTGCCTGTCACATGCCAGGCTCCCTGTCCAGCAGAGGTGAGCCCTGGCTGGAGCACTGTTTATAGCTGCCGGGTGGCGGTGGTGATAACGCCCTTGGGGACTTTGCCCTCTTCTCTGCAATTGACGATCAGCCACTGGGGTAGTGGGTTAGGCATTGCCTAGAGAGAGATTAAGAAGCTCGAGTTACCGGGGAACTCAAGTGGGCCTGGCCCGTCATCCTCACAGCAACCTCCCACGGTAGATTCTGTCATTATGCCCACTTGATGGGAGAGCAAAACAGGATCAGTCGGAGTTGGTGTGACTTGTCCAAACTCACACAGCGGCAGAAGGACCAGGATTTGAGCCCACATCCATCTGTCTCCAAGGCTGTGGAGAAAGGACCATGGGCTGACCTGAATCAAAGACACTCAAGTCCCTACTCTGCCATCGACTAGGTTGGTGACCTGGGGCAAGTTACTTCATCTCTTGAGCCTCACTTTCCCTGTCTGTAGAATGGTCTCTGCATCCTTCCACTTGAATAGGTGTCTTCTGGAGCTGAGGTTGAGTGGTGTGTCCACGGCCCTCCCAGAGAGCCTCCCTCCCCCCAGGTGCCTGCCACACAGTATCTTCTTCCCATGTAGAGGAAGTTCTGGGCTTCCTTTGTAGCGGAGGCTCTGGGCCTCCCTGCCCTTAATCACCCCTAGCCCCCTTCCTGGGAATGGGCTTGGGGCCTGTTGAAGAGCCATCCAGCTGTCAACCCCACCCCAGCTGGCCAGTTAATGAGTGATCAGGGCACTGGCGCGGCCTATAAAGAGCTCCTCACGGGGGAAGTGGGTTGGAGTCGGGGGACAGCGGCAGTAGGCTACAGACGGAGCAAGATGCACGGCAGCCTGGTGTCAGGGCTGCTGCCCGCGGTGGTCCTCCTCCTGCTGTTGCAGGACACACACTCAGTCTACATTCAGGTGAGTCCCTCCGGCCACAGGCCCTTTGCCTGAAGGTCCCCGGGGGGGAGGCTGGGATGGAGAGGGAACGCTGGGAAATTCATGGGATACAGGGGAGCAAGTGCCCAAGGCTCACCCCAACACCTAATCACAACCCAGGGACCAAGACAGCTGGTGGCTGGGGGCAGCCAGAGTGCCAATGGCAATGACAATGGTGATGATAGCAATAATAAACCTCCGTAGTCAGCACTGCCCTCTCAGAAGGCAGGTCCTGGTCAGAGGTCAGAAGCTGGAACAAGATGTGGTCCCCGCCCTTAAGGAGCCGCAGAGGAGAGGGGTCTTCCCCCAGCTCTCTACATTCACCCACGTACGGGTGAATGGGGGACAGTCACCAGAAAAAGTTTCCCTGGCAGGTGACTGAGCTGACCTTGCAGGCTGAGCAGGAGGCAGCCAGGCACAGAGGATGTAGACTGCTCGGGCAGAGGGCACGGTCTACACAAAGGCTCAGAGCGAAGACGGCAGGGGGCCCGGGGCTCCTAACAGGCCTGCCTGTGAGGTGGCAAGACGGCACTGGCCAGCAAGGATGGGGAAGACTGTGGCCCCGAGGATCCGTCGCATTCCTGACTCTCGGTGGGGCCTCCTTGTCAGGGGTGGAGGGGAGGCAGCTTCCCCGGGCAGCCCTAGCCTTAGAACCAGCCAGCTTGGGGGTGGTTACTTTGCCATGTCAGTTCAGGGGCGATCACCCTGTTCCTGAGTGTGGCCCCGGTGCCAGGCACTAGGGAGGCTCATTCGTCAGATGAGGCTCCGACTGCAAAAGATACAGGCGGCCAATTGCGAAGAGTTGGGATTTGAACTGGGGGTTCACTGGTCTCCAAAGCTCATACCTTGAATCACTTGCTCCCCAGCCTCGCTGCAACCTCATGTGCAGTTACTGGGGGCCTGTGGCACCAGCTCCCTCCTCCCAGACCGTCCCCCCTCCCAGGACCCTCCGTGAGAACAGGGAAGGCTCTGCAGAGCCCGAGGAGCTCTGGCGTCCTGGCCCAGGTTTTCTTACCCTCTCATCTCCTGTCCCCTCCGGCCCCCTAGTACCAAGGCTTCCAGGTCCAGCTGGAATCAGTGAAGAAGCTGAGTGACCTGGAGGGGCGGTGGGGGCCCAGATCCTACCCCCAGACCCAGAGCCTCGCGCCCTCCGTGTGTCACCACCCGGCCCTGCCGCCGGACCTCCAGCCGGTCTGCGCATCCAAGGAAGCTGACAGCGTCTTCGAGGACTTGAGTGAGTATCCCCACCCCTGCAGAGCTTCCTGCCCCTCGCTCTCTCTCCTCCCCACCCCCCAGCTCTGCCACTTCATGTTCCTTCTAGTAAGCACCCAGTGGCTGGGACAGGGAGAGTCAAGAAGCTCAGCCTCTGGCCTTCACTGTCTGGGCACTGCAAGTCAGGCACGCCAGGACCCCCCCGCCTCGGTCCCCAGCACCCCAGACCATTGATCATCCTAGCGGACTTCAAAGATGGGAGGGAAGGGAGCCCTGGGCCAGGGTCCCGTAAGCAAGGACTGGAATACGGGGAGGCATGGGGGAAGCACAGGGGACCGAGGAGAGATGGCTCACGTCTGGGGTGGCATAAGGGGTCTGAAAGGGTTCCCAGAGGAGGTGACATCTAAGCTGAAACATGAGGGAGGAAGCAGAGCTGGCCAGCGAATGTGGCACCCTCAAAGTGTCCAGCTCCCTGTCCCCCCCAAGAGAGCCAACAGGAATATCCCCGGCCCCAAGGGTATAAGGGGCTGGCCCAGGCCCAGAGAGGCAGGGAGGCCTGGGACTCTCCCCTGAGCCGCCCTCGGCTCCTGAAGCGTCAGGCTCCTGACCTGTGAGAGAGATGCCTGTGCTAGACCTCCCCCACCCGCCCAGCCCCTGGAGATGCAGGTCCCCGGCGCCCCAGTGCCTCACGGTCAGCTGCTGACCAGATTTCTCCCCTGCCCAGAGAGCATCGCTAAGGACAACTGCGAGCTGTGTGTGAATGTCGCCTGCACTGGCTGCCTCTGAGGGGGCTGGCTGCCCTGAGCCCACCCGGACACCGCCCCCAGCCCGCTGCCTTCCCAGCCTGCGGCCCCCACCGCCCCACTCCACCCCCACCGCCCTGTCCGAGCCCCAGTGGGGCCCCTGAGCACATCAGCACCACCGGCCAGAGGCCCGAGCGGCTGAACGTGGCACGAAGCCGTTGGACACATGGTTGGAGGGGAGTTTGGTCCCTGAGGTAGCCCTGTTGCCCAATAAAGATGCCCCACCTTCCTAGAGCCGGAGTCGGGAGACCCTGTGTCCATCCCCGGGAGCCCCGGGCAGAGGTGCTTGGGAAGCTGAGTGCGTGAGGAGAAAGGCTGATCTCGGGATACAGTCAGGAGCTTCCCAGTTTCCAGCACCTGCAGAGTTGGGTCAGCAAGCCCCATTTCATATAGGAGGAGGGAAGCTGACGGGGGAGGGGGGTGTGGAATGAGTCCCGCCAAATCACAGAGCTAAGGCGCTGCAGAGCGACCGCATCCATCTAAGCCTGCAAGCCGAGCCCTAGGCCTGGCCCAGCGACAGAGCCAGAGCTGCTCTGCTTCCCCCGGGAGGTGGGGCTGCCCCGTGGGTGGGCGCAGGGAAGAACCACGTGGTGCGCCCTCCCCAGGCCGGGTGTCGGGGCTCCTGAGAGGATGGGCCTGGGCCTTCCCCCTTACCTTCCTGAGCGCCCTCCCTTCTCAGGCTCCCCAGGACCATCTGGCCAGCTCCAGACCTTTCCTCCCTCTCTCCATCCTGGCAGCCCTGAGGAATAATAATAACAATAATAACCGATGTCAGGGCACCTGGGTGGCTCAGTTGGTTGTGCTTCTACCTTCGGCTCAGGTCATTATCCCGGGGTCCTGGGATGAGTCCTGTGTCGTGCTCCCCTCTTAGCAGGGAACCTGCTTCTCTCTATCCCACTGCCCCTCGTGTGCTCTCACTCGCTCTCTCTCCCTCTCACAAATAAATAAAATTTTTTAAAAAATTAAAAGTCTATGGAGCATCTGCTGTACCCTAGACCCTATTCTAAACTCACTGAGTCCTCGAAAGGGTCTAATGAAGCAGGTACTGTTCAATAACCACTCCACTTTACAAATATAGAGACCCAGCTACAGAGAGAGAACGAACTAGTCCAGGATCACAGGCTCAGCAAAGTGGCAAAATGGGCTTCTTCCCAGGCAGGCTGGGCCAGAGCCCACACTCTGAACCACCATGTTACTGCCCCCCCGCCCTGGTTTGGGCCACACCGATGATGCCTAACAGAAGGGCCCCTGCGTTCTCACAGCTGCGGCCAACTCCTGGGCCTTTCCACAGGCTGGGCTCCTCCACAGCCACTGTCCCGGGCAGCCAAGAGAGGAGAGCCAGGCACAAAGGGGCCGTGGTCTCTGAAGTCCGCTCCCCCAGGGCCAAGGCCATGGCGAACTGCCCCAGACCAGCCGCCGCTCCCGGCTGCCCAGTTCTGCTCATGAGCTCTGCAGCCTCCCACTCCGACAGGCCACAGACCCCAGAGCTCTAGTTCCTTCCTCTCCCTCGCCCCGCAGACCAGGCTGGCTGGGGCCTTCACGGTCCTCCCGCGTCTCTCGGGCCAGCATGCCAGCGGAACACAGCAGCACGGCCCCAGGGGGGCCCCTTAGCCTTCTGTGGATCCCTAGCGCCCCCTCTCATGTCTAAACTGAGCCCCAGCACCAGCTGGTCTCAGCTCCCATTGCCCCCCTCAGCTATGCTGGGTCCCCGCCTGCTGGGGAGGAGGCAGGGAAGAGAACTGTGTCTGACGGAGCACGAGTGCCTGGCTCAGGCTGAGCCACCTACACAGAAATAGTAACAGCAGCACCAGCAGAGGGCCCACTATGGGCTCAGCAGGGCTCTACGAGCTTTTCCTGTGTTGCCTCATTTAATCCTCGCTCAACCCTACAAAATAGGGATTCTTGTCATCCCCATTTCACAGACGAGGAGCCTGAGGGGAGAAGAGGCTGAGTGCTGGCCACAGTCACACAGCTGGTAACAGGCAGAGCCAGGATCCAGCCCCAGAGTCCAGGTCCAGGGTGGGAGCACTGAATGACCCCATCCTACCCTGCACCTCATCAAATCCCCCTGCAACCCTGGGCGGTGGGGTCTGTTAGCATCCCCATTTTCGGATGAGGAAACCAAGTCTCAGAGAGGGGTTCACAACTTGTAAGTAACATGGGCAGGTTCAAACCCAGCCCTATGTGCCTCCCAGGAGCCCCCACCTTGTCCAGACCGGACCCTTCCAGGGCCTCGGACCTTCGCCATTCAGCACCTACTCCACCTTCTGGAATGCCCTCTGCTTCCCTACCTCAGATTGGTTTTGATTGTCCATCCACCCCAACGCACATCCTAAGCACTAATGCAAATGCCTGCCTCCCCTCCCCCTTCACAAAGCCTCTCCTGACCTGGCCCTAAGGACACCTCACCCTCTGAATTCTGCAGCCCAAGGAATTCTGCCTGGATTCCCCTGTGGCACTTCCCCTCCACCCAACTCCCCAAGAAATGCCCTGGCCCCCTCCTCTTTTCCCATTCCCTCTAACTTTGCTAACAAGCAGCCCTCCTTGCCTCACCTCCTTGCCCCTGTCTGAACCAGTGTCAGCTTGACCCTCCTTCCCCATCTTCTGGTTTGTTTTTACCATTTACTGATTCTCTGCACACGGCCTGAACTCGATGTGCATGACATACACATTTGCAGCATTATTTCACCCAGCCTGGCAGGCAGCTACTGTCACAGTCCGTTTCACAGGGGAGAACACTGAGGCACAGACAGGGAGAGTATATGCAAGACCCGAGGCCGGCCTGCGTAGCTCTGGCTTCCCCCGCCCTGGGTCTTATCCTCAGGCAGGTGTGGTGGGTTTTACCTGCTCTGGGGGTCACAGAAGCCAGTACAGTCCAGCGGGGCTGATCGAAGTGCCCACAGAGCGCCGGGGACAGACTGGGAGCACAAAGACTCCTGCGAGGCGGAGGCTTCTGAGGAGAGGCCATGGGAGCACAGCCTTGGGGCCTCCGTGGGAGTTCCTCAGGCCAGGAGTGTGCGAAGAGGAGCAGAGCACAGGTGAGGGGAGCTGAGGTGGTGGTGAGGGCTGGGGCTGGAGGTGTGGTCCCCTCGGGGAGGGCAGGAAGCTACACTGCCGTGGGGGGCGGGGGGCCAGGACCTGGGGGACCTTGAACACTCCAGAGCCGGGGCCCAGTCTCATGGCCGCTCCAGCTATATGTGGGACACCCGAGCGGGCACAGACTCCTGTGCTCACTCATGGCGTAGCGGCTCTGGTGTTCTCCCCCACCCCGCGCAGATGGGAAGGAAAAGCAGAGGTTTCCCCCCCTCCCAGGGGTGGTCTGGAGGTTGAGGTCCCCTGGGTGCCTGTGTGTGGTGGCAGCCCCAGGGGGGTGGCAGCTTAATAGGGGGAGGCACACACTAAACTCTGAGCTTGCCAGGGCAGGGCAGGCATCCTTACAAAGCTGGCTGATCATCAGTCCACTGACAAATGAAGGCAGGAAGGAAGCGACACCAGGAGGACTCTGGCAACTGGTTTATTAGCTGAGGGCTGCAGTGGATCTTGGGAAGCGCCGGCAACTCGGATGGGTCAGGGGCAGGGCCTCCCCAGGCCGCCCCAGGCCACCCCCTCTTCACTCCTCCCCTGGAGGCCCGGCCGAGCTGCTGCCGCAGTGTGAGCATCCCGCAGGGGAGGGCCAGGAGGCCTGTGTCCTAGCATCCGGCACAGGCGGCGAAGGCACAGATCTCGCACGATCTCGGGTCCTCGGCGATGGCCTCTGCGCAGGAGAGATGGGGTGCCGAGAGAGTCAGAGCCCCTCCTTCCCTTGCGCCAGAGCTTGGACGTCTGCCACTGAGGCCCCAGGACAAAACCAGGCCTGTCCCCTCCCACCCGCCGGTCTTTTCGCCCCCAACAGGTAACGCTCAAGCCAGCCAGAGTGGGGATTCCACCCAGAAGGAGCAAGAGCTAGGGCCACAGGGCCCGCGGCGCAGAACTACCAACCAACATCGGTCAGAGCGAGGATCTTTCAAAAGTAAGCTTCGCCAATTACAACTTAGAACTACTTCCAGCAGGTTCAGCAGACCCACCAATCAGAGCACACCTCCCCCTCCCGGGCCACCAATCAGGGAGTTCCCAGGCCCCACCCACCAGAGAGAGGCTACTCACCCAGCCTATGGAGGATCTCCCGGGCGTCGGTCTCCTTGCAGAGAGGCTTGAGTTCTTCCGGAAACTTCAGGTGGCTGCAGACTTGGGGAACCACAGGCCCACCACTCTTCCTGCTCTTCCAGGTGCTGGATTCTTGGAGCTCCCGGAGGTCCTTGAGCTTCTTCACCGACTCCAGAGGAAAAGAGAACTTTCCATCCTGAGAGACACATGTCCAGAGTGTGAGGTCAGGCTGCAGCCTGCCCCAGGATGTCCGCATGATTTCCAAGACCCAGGCCGGGGCTCTGGCTGAGGACAGGACTGAGGAGTAAGGTCTAGAATTGAATCTAGCTCCTTCACTTCCCAGCCATGTGCCTAGGGCCAGTTACAGAACTTCTCTGAGGCTGTTATCCAGCTCCGAAAAATGGGACTAATCTTATTTTCGCAGGGGGAGCGTGGGGCCTCACTTGAGGAGCCTGGCTCATGGCAAGCACTCAGTAAAATTGGCTAATCACCTCCTTTCCCAAATGGTTCTCTTCTCTCCTCCAAGTTTGAAGGGGAAGGGGTATGGGGCAGGGCTGAGAGAAGGGTTCCTGGGTAAGTGCCACACCTGAGACACACCCTCTGCTCCAGCCCTAAGGAGGGAGTGCTCTCTCCGGGACAGGCCCTGGGCACTGGGGAGCAGAGAGTCAGCTGGGCCAGGGGAGGGACAGGATTTACCTGCACGGTGACTCCCCCTGCCAGGACAGCCCAGGTCCCAAGGATGCACAGTGCAGAGAGCAGGAAGGTATTCATAGCAGCAGCGCCCAAGAGGGAGGAACCATTGGTTCTGGAAGCCAGAGGGAACAGTGGGACATTTAACGAGGGCAGGGTTACTGAGTAACCAGGGAGTCTTATCAGCATCTCCTCGGCTAGCCTGTCAACTCAGGCCTAATCAGATAAGGCTCGAGACAGCCCTGGAAGATAAGAGATCAGTCCCCGGAGGCGGGCAGAGAGCCCCTGCCCCTCCCTGGGCTCCCAGTTTAACCCCGAGCCAGGCTAGGTCCAGTATCCACTGACCAACCACACACACTCACTGACACCTGCTCTAGGTCAGGCCCCGAGCTGGGGTGGGGCTGCAGACCCAGCCCAGCCCTTAAGGAGGAAGGCCCAGACCGGGGCAATGCAGGGTGATTAGGGGAGTGGGGGTTGGGGGGTGGATGGAGGAGCCATCCCACCCAGCCCAGAGGCAGGGAGTTCAGGAAGATTTCCCAAAGGAGGTTGTGTCAGCACGGAGTTCTGGAGAATGGGTGGAATTTTCTTAGAAAAGGGGCCAGGGATAGGCTATTTCTTGCAAAGGACGCTACATGTAGAACAAGCAGGAGGTAAACAGGCCTGGAATATTCAGGGAATGTGAGTAGTTCAGCCTAGGGGAAGAGGGGGTTACCAGGGGGCTTCAAATGATGAGAGATGAGTTGTAGACCAAGGTAGGTACTAGGTTTGGCCACTATGACTTTAAGGAAGGACTCAGCTCTGCTGTCCCACGGGCCTGGGTTCAAGTGCCACCTGTACTGCATGATTTTAATGTGTGTGAACTTGGGCAAATTGTTTTTCCTCTCTGAGCCTCAGCACCCCTTGTGGATCAATACTACTACTAACACCTACCTTGTGGGCTTATTCTGAGGATTAGAGATGTTGTAAAGATGCTTAGCTCAGTGCCTGGCACACACAAAGCACTCAGCAAAAGTAATCCCATTATTATTATTTTTATCAGTAGCAGCAGCAGCTTCTGGTCCCCGTTGACCCCTCTGGTGACCACTTGCCCATCTGAGCCACAGCCTTTCCTCATCTTGTGCTGACCTTGCCTGTCCTTCCGCCTCAGATTGTCGTAGAATGAACTCCTCCCCTCTCCCTCCCGATACCCTAGCCCCTGCTCCCCTAACCTCCTCAGTCCTGTTTCTGCCTTCCAACTACTGCCCCCACCATGTGTGCCCTCCCCTTCTGCTTCCCTTCTTCCCCAACTAGAGCAGCCTATTTTCCCCATCCTGACTTTTCCCACCAGGCTCACCTCCCCCACCCTTCCTGAACAGGCTTCCCTGCCTTTGAACATGCTGTTTTATCTGCCTGGAAGGCTTTTCCATCCTTGTCACTAGGTAAACTCCTACTCAAACTTGAAGGCCCAGACCAAATAATCCCCACTGCGTCCCCAGTGAAATAACCTAAGTTCCTGTAGAACCAGATACATTCCCCCACTAGGGGTCTTGTTGGGTAGGCTTAGTTGGGTGTGTGTTTCTGCCCCACTAGACTCGGACCCTCTGGCTCAGTGGATGTTCCTTGTGTTCTCTTGTGAGCCAGGCCTCCAGGACACAGAAGGAAAGCCCTCAGCGCTCCATTGTTCTAATCTACAAACAAGCCAGGCCAGAAGCCAGGACAGCTTTCAGGAAGGTGACGGGCAGGAATCCCAGGGTGGAGAGAGTCAGTATTGAAGAAGGGCCTAGAGGAGCAGAACCTGACAGGCAGGAAACTACAAAGGGGTCTGGCCCAAGGCAGGGGGTGGGGGAAGTGGGGGGTGGTGGGCAGGAAACACTTGCCCTACCTGCCCTCCCAGGCCAGCTGGACTGGACTTCCCTCCCCTCTCCTGTGTGTGTGTGTGTGTGCGCGTGCGTGCCCACGCTGGGGTCTGCACGTCCAGTCCAGACCCATGGTGGCCTCTGCTCACTGAGCACTGGGTGGGAGTGTGCACTGGATGGGGGTGGGGAACGGGATAGGCTCTGGGAGGGTAGTGGATGGAGTCCAGGTTGAAGGTGAGGCTAGGCGTCTTGCGTAAGGGTAGAGTTTGCTGTGATTGGGATGGAAGTGAACACCAGGTGCAGATCTGGAGTACGGTTGAGGTTGGCCCTGGCACTGAACTGGGGTGGGTGGAGGTGAGCTGGGTTAGGGTGAAAGCTGGTTAGCGTCAGCCTGAGGTTCTGGGTTGGGGTTGGGGCTAAGCTGGGGCAAGATGGAGGAGCGGTTAGTGGTAGGAGTTCAAAACAGGATTCAAAGTGGGGTTTGAGTCTGGGGCAGGGTTAGAATGGAGCTGAGGGAAGGGAGGGATGTCAGGGTTAGGTTTGGATTGGGTTGCCGCTGGGATTGGGTTGATGTTGGGATTGCAGATGATGTGGAGGCTGGTTAGGATTGGGTTCAGGATCAAGGTTGGATCAGTATGGGGCTCAAGCGAAATGAAATGTAGTTGAACATCAAGGAGGAGGCTTGGGTGGGGCTGCTGTGCGCTGGAAGAGTCCTGTTTCTGGCTGGCTTTGGTTTTCAGTCTTTCCCCTCCCCAGGTACAGAGGGACTGGTGGGGCTTTGGTTCCTAAAGCCTCTTTCTCCCCTAGCCTCCTAGCCAGGGCCTACCTGGTACAAGGTAGAACTGGAACGGGTTGCGGGGGGCGGGGGGGTGTTGTGGGAGTGATGTAGTCCATGCTGTGGGAAAGAGGAAATGGCTCCTAGGCCTCAGACTTTTGGGCCCTGCCCTACTAACCACTTCTGACGTCTGCCCTGGGAAATGGGAACCAACTCCCCTTCCCGTACCCTCACAGTTCCCGGCCCAGCCCCTGCCCAGGTGTGAGTTCAGGGCCCCTTCTTGCACTCCTATGTTGAAGCAGTGGGGGCCCTTCCAGAACCCCAGGTCCACACCTGAGTCCTGAGACATCGGCCCCCAGGACCCCCACGCCCCTCTTCATTCCTTATGGGCAGCAGGTGGGGCTGGGATTGCTGGGCTTCCCACAGCCAGGGCCACCCCTTCTGGCAAGCTCTGGAGCCTTCCAGGCTGTGCCACCTCTTCGACCTGCTGCCCCACCTGAAAACCCACCAGCAGCTGCCCCAGGCCTTCAGAAGAAAGCCCAGACTCCTTGGCCTGGCATTCAAGGCCCTTCGTGGTCAGCCCCTGCTCACCCTTCAAATCAGGATCCCCAAAGCGCCCCTAGGAGTGAATCGGGAAGAAGGGCCCGGACCTGCTGTAGCTGACAGAGCACCAGCTTTGAAGCGAGGCAGCCCTGGGTCAGAGTCCCAGCTCCTTCAGGGAACAGCTGTGTGGCCTTTCCCAGACTCCGTTTCTACATCTGAAAAATGGAGACAAGAACTACATTGTGAATTTCAGATTGTCTAGAAAAGTTTCCTCCCTGACGCCCAGCTCCAGCAAGCCTGGCTTAAGACCCTCTCCACCTCCTCTGGGCTCCACTGACACTTTCCCACCGGAAAACTTGCCAAACTGTCTGTCTTGCCCACTTTCCTCTGAGTTCCTGAAAGCAGAGCCTGTGTCATGCTCCGTTGTGACCCCAGTACTCATACAGGCCCGGCACTTAGTGGGTGCCGCTGAGCCCTTAGGGCATTAGGAAGGTCGTGCTATTTGCAATAATCCTAACACTCACTATGGATCGAGTGCTTTACAGTGTGGAAACCGGCCACCCCTCCCCAGCACCAGCAGCTGTTGTGGCGGGAGGGGGCTCAGGTCTCTCTGAAGATGCCTGATGCTATTCCTTTCGGCCCAGAAGTTAACTCTTGGGTTTGCGTGACCTAGGCGTGGTTCCAGCATGCACGCACGTTAAAGTTGTGTCCACCGCTGCCCTGTCCCCGCCAGGCTGGGCTCTGCTTCCTGGCGGGCCCAAGGCCCCAGCTGACCCCAGCAGGAAAGGCCCCAGTATGGAGCCCAGGTGGGAGTCTAGAGACTTCCATGCTGCCCTGTGTGACCTTGAGGAGGGAGGGTGTGGCTCACATCTCACAGCCTCCCCATCCTGCTCGTAAACATGTCCTGGAGGGTGTAACAAGCTCTGGTTCCTCTAAGAGCCCAGAACTACCTGAGGAAGACTTGCAATGTGTGTGAATATGTAAGAAATAACCGTAGAACCCCATTTTATCGATGGTAAACTGAAGCTCAGAAGCCCAGACAGCTTAAGAGACCATGACTTTCCCAAGGGCGCAGAATACACAGGGGCCAGGTACAGTTGTATTGGTAGTGCCCTGCGGGCACCCAGCCAACAGAGAGGATAGGTGTGGACGCATGCCATGCGGCTACCTAGGCCTAGGGGAAGGCACAACTTTTCGCATTCATAGCCAGGTGCACTTGGCAGCAGCTGCAGTCTCAATGCTGAAAATTCCAGAACAGAAGCCAGTTCTCACAAATTCCAAGAAAAGGCTTAAACAGCTACTCGGTGCATACATCCTGCAGTATCTTCCCGGCCCCAGACTCCCATCTTTAAGGAAGGGGAAGAAGAAAGGAGCAGCTGCTGCATCAGACTCCGTGAAGTGGGTCCATGATGCCCATTTTCAGAGGAGGAAACAGAGGCTCTCAGAAGAGAGTGCACCATGTTACACAGAAAATGATTGCTGCGTTGGATTTGAAGCCTATTGGCTTGACCCAAGTCCAGGCTGGGCTGGAGGGCGCCCTCCCCTCCCCCGGGCCCTGGGAGGCAGGCTCCTTCCCCCACGCTCCAGGGGGCAGTTGGTTTTTCCTGTCACATCCCTGTGGCCTGGCCAAGATGAGGCCATGGTGGCGCTCTGTCCACCAGCAGCTGCCTCCTGTTCCCCCAGCCCTCGGTCTGCTCTGGGCATCGGCCACGGAGACCCCCTACCTCCCCGGAGACAACCAGGAGAGTTTTGTGGAAGAGACAGCGTACCTTGGTGGGAAGAGCAGACTGGAGGGAGGCACAGCTGGCTTCCTGATCTGTCACCGGAAGGAAAGAGACACGGCTGGAGCCCTGGCCCCATGGCCCAGAGGCCACAGGCTAAAGGGAGCAGACTGAGAGCCACCAGAGAAGGTCCCGTGGGGCCAGGTC